TCCTAGTAAGCTGGGCAGATAGGGGCTCAGGTGATCAATTTGGGCCTCTGAATAACAAATTTAATTTTACTCCAGACTGGCAAAACAGTTCATGGCAATTACACCAAATACTTGGGAACTAGAGCACTCTTACTTTCATTTCCTACTCGAATTCCATCTCCTTCTTATCTCCTGGGCTCTAATATATGCACAGATGGAAGATTTTCTAACTTTTTCCTTAGTAGTCTTAGAAGCTGAAAATGTAAAAGTCAAAATGCCCCACATCAAAATGGAATGTCAAAATAACCAAGTCAAAATGGCACCAGCCCAAATAGTTCCACAGTCACTTACAAATGCCAAAATAAAATGTAGCATCACCCCATATAAAGTGACATCATACAGTAATCTTGATTTGCCTTCTACATACAGACACAGAGTAGATCACAGGATTTGTTTTTTTTTTTCCTAGAAATAAACAAACCAAATACAATATTGCGTCTAACTTCTTGCCCAAATAATTCCAACTAATAAAATAACCATGATATCTGCTTACACATTTTTGGGACCACTATTTAAGAAACATCACCTTGAAGACATATGTTTTTAACAAGCAGCAGCCGCCAATTACTGTCTGCCTATTCTCTGCCTTGCACGGCTCTGAAGGCTTCACGGAAACCATCTCACATCTTCATTTCAGCAACTATGATGCCATAGTATGGGCGCATTCAGCCTGCCTAGACGAACGTAAAATTGGCTTCAGACCTTGGACTTCTCGTTGAAATCTCCAACTCCATCAATACCAGTTGAATGACTCTTAGGATATCTCTCATTTACTTTAAAATACTTCAGCAGAAACAGCATGATAGGTGCAAGTGTTGGTTTAAGATAAGCTAGCACTCTATTTTACCACTCAGGGCGGCTCAGTTTCATTTTTAATCAGAAAGCACACGTCCCAGAATTAAAACTGCTTCTGTTATCCATAGTTCTATCAACACCACAGGCCTTACTAGTTAACCACTTAGACATTGGCTCTTGTTTGAGGAAATTAATGACGTTCATGAAGACAGAAGGATTGGCAGAGATATTTTAGAGGCACTATTGTTGAAACAAATTTCTAGGCCCAAGGTTGAGCTGCTCCTGCCCTAGTGCCATGTCAGCAAACTGAAACTTTGACAGCTTTCCTGTCTCTATAAATGCTCCCCTTGACCAGAAACACAGCATATCTAATCAGGCAGTCCCCAGATGCCAAGCCAACTCTGCAATCTATATGTCCTATTTCTTTATTCCTTATGCATTTGCTATTTTTAACTTCTTTGTTCCTTACTCTTTGTCTCATAAAAGCTTCATACCTCCCATTTCATTTAGTAGTTCTCTGGATCCTTGGGAACGGACACTCCCTGCTTCAGGAAGTGCTGAATAAAGTTCATTTGAATCGCCTAAATTGTCTTTTTAAATCATTTTTAACACTAAACACTCAGGCATACTCAATGCGTAAAATTGCTTCCCTTAGAGATGGGGCCCAAGGCTCTCATCCTAAAGAGGCTCAGGTATCCGGCCACTGTGCCTGGATTTCTGGTTGCCTGATGCTTCCTTGTAAGGATCCTGGATCCCACCTGCGGAATGTTGTCATCTGCCTCTAGAGAATTTCATGCAAGGTGGATGGTAGAGAACCTGAGAGGACAGAGAACTTGGCATAGGAGGAAGAGAGAAAAAGAAACAGAGCTGAGATCAGTGTTGGCCCATAGTAGCTAATCAGCAATTCTCTGTTTATGGTTTCAGTACAGGAGTGATTATAATGATTGATCTTGGAATGTAAGCTGGTTCAGGAGGGAAGACAAGCCCTCAGGTGACTAAGGACAGTGAAAAGGTGTAGAATCAGTGGATGGTAGTGTGAGGGACCAGAATTGGCCACTCCGAAATGTGTCTCTTTGGCATGAGGATTATTTTGGGCTGGTTGCTTTTAAAAACTGCAGACAGAGGAGAAGCTCTGAAAAGTAGAATTTACCCTTTGTAAGATACATTTGCACTTGTAAGGGAAATCTCCATTTGTAAAGATGTCTTCCTCTCTGCACCAGGAAGAAGGGGAGATGACATTATCTCTAAAAACTCTTATCAGTGTGGAAGGCAAGGACTTAAATCTGCATAATAACCTTATTCTTATTTACTGTGCTTTTCTGTTAATCTTCCATAAGGGTCTCCCATGACCTGCAACATCCTCCTTTGTCTTTAGCCGAAGAAGATGGTATTTAAGATGAGAACCTCTGCCATTTTGGTGAGTTGCTCGGTTTTCCTGAGTGTCTCCCACGTATTCATGTTATAAAGCTTTGTTTGATTTTCTCCTGTTATTCTGTCTCATGTCAACATAATTCATAGCCCAGCCAGAAGGATTCACAGAGTAGAGGAATTTTCTTCCTCCTCTACTGTAGTTTCCAGTGGAGACAAATGACTGTTAGGAGTTAGGGGTATTAGGAGAAATGAGGCAGAAAATAAGCAGTAGCTCTCAGAGTTGAATGAAATGGCGAGTATGGAGGGTAAAATTACTGGTACTTCAAGGTAGAGGCTATCTATCACCATGAAGATAGGTGGCTAAGGTAAGATACTGAAAGGATCATCTATGTAGGGTTGCTGAAATCATCAGGAATTATGGTAAAAGCAGGCTTGGCAAGAGTCACAGTGAATCAGGAACTAAAATTTTCAAGGAATGTGAAACAGGACCTCAAGGGTGTTAACTGACTGGACCTATAAATGAAACTACCAAGTCTGCATGATTTTGGTCATTTATCTACAGAAATGATATTTTGTATATCATAGTGACCTGTTGGTGTCTTGTTTTTTTAGTATGTAAGAGTAGACTAGTTTAGCATGAGTAGATTAACAGTTTATGAATTACTCCATTAAAAAAGTTCCATAGGATTTTTTTCCCGAAAAATATGGTTATGGAGTCACTGAAATAATGATGATGCCTTTACAGGCAAAGGGAAGGAGAAAATAGAAATAATTACTTTACAATCTGGGTATCTAATAATCCTTTGAAAGCTCTGCTTGAAACTATTCAATCTAGATGTGTATATGCACCATAAAAATTGCATAATTTCTAAAATGTTCTGCTGAAGATAAGTAACCTTAATAGTTAACTGATGCAAAGTTATTCATTCATTCAACCATTCATTCTTTCCACACGCTGTTGCCTCCCCACCCGGGTACTCAGGGGACGCAGCCTTTGCTCAGTCAGTTACCACGTGCACAACTGCCCTTAGTTATCTGGTCAGTTAGGTTGTTTTAAATAATTAGTTAGAACTTTTGCACCTCTCAGTGAAATGGGGATTTATTATTATCTTGGAATCAAAACAATCCACTTAGAGAATATATAACAAAAGTCAACTCAATAGAAACTTCACCATAATAGAAATAAACTCACAGTAAGATGAAAATTAAAACGGCATGTTTAATCAAAAAGACCCAGGATCCTCTCCTGTTAAAACTATAATTAGCTTTTGCCAAGCATGGAATCAAAAAGTGTGATTTTACTTTATTCATTGGCTATGAATCTCATCACTCTGAATTAATTTTCTACCCTGTAATTTTCTTTTTCATTCTCTACAGAAAAAAAAAATTGCCTATATCTGTCATATTTTAAACATATGCTATGCTGTGTTTAAATATAATATTTACTATGACTCAATGACTAATTGGCTGTATGCTAAATAAACTGCTGCATTATATTAAATTTAGAGGGTGTATTTCTCCTTCTGGAACAAGAGGTTCAGGGTAGATTTTCCAGGTGCTGTGAGAGATCCTCTACATACCTGATTTCCAATCTTTACATTAACACTGCAGGAAGGGTTCATTATTTTCCACATGCATCTTACGGATGAGGAAAACTGAATTTCAACGAGACTAAGAAACACACTAAAGGTCTAGAGTTCGTAAGTGGCTGCTGGAACCCTTGGGATGGAGGTTGTGCTAGATGAAGTTTGTTGCCATATTCTTCCAGGGTCTGTGGATTTTCCACTCTACCACATGAAAGTGATAATTATACTACTAATAATTACAGTAGCTAACACTTATTAAGTAATCAAGAGCTACCAGCCATGTGCTAAGACATTATATATTTTTAAATCTCAAACAAACTTATGATTAAGTAATTTGCCTAAAATCATATAATAAGTAGTCAACTTAAGTGGGACTCACATCCAGGCTCTCTCCTCTGAATTCTGAACCCAAACTATAAAGAGATGATTACCCTCAATAGATGCCTGGCTACCATATGAAGGTAGGAAGGTGGAGCGAGGACAGATGATGAGAGAGTTCCAATTGTTTTGTTTACTTTCGTAATTTGGTAGCTCAGATATTTCCATTAGACTTCTGCAAAACTCATCATATGGAAATAATGATATTTTAGATATTTACATTTTAAAATGATAGGAAGAGTCATTCCAAGTGATGCAGATGATTTTGACTTTTCTATCGCGTGGACTTTTCCCTGGTCAGGAGTGCTCTCTCTCACCCAAAGATGACCACGTTGGGAATTTCTATGTGGATGAGTTTAATTAATGAAAGACTGGAACTCAGTGAGGATAAGGTTATGACGTGGCTCCTAACATGAGTAAATTGCCTGCTCGCAGCCTTGCCATCTTTCATTGCTAGTTACCCAATATGTAAATGCTAACCTTTGGCCACGGCTAGGCATAAAACTAAGATTAAGACGTGCATGATGTGTCACAGATCATGACCGCTACCGCATACAGTTTTTTAGAATTTGTTATTCTTAAACTAGACAAGAAAACAGATTATTCTATTTACTTTTAAAAGAATTGCTGACCTTGTGTTAAAAATTAACCTTCCCACAGTACAAGTCATACATTAGGTGGTAAATCAGTATTTGTTTTATGATCCAATGCATGAACATAACTTCATTGTAAGTGTCTCATGTTCATTCCTTATACACAGAACGGAAGTCAAATATTTCACAGACGGTTAGCAGGGAGGCAATGACAGGTCTGGCTTGTTCAGACACTTACCTGAAAAGCGTCTGCACGTTCACAATCGTTTTGGCGTCTGCCATGTAGTCCTCCTCGGCACTCATGGTGCTCTCCTTGTCCACAACCACCATGTTGGCAGCAAAAGTCACTCCACACCTGAGTAAATCATCTAGGCTTTGATAACAATCAACAGAGAAAAACGGACTTTCAATAAATCACAGTACTAGGATCGGTGCTAAAACTTGCTTACCCCCTGCGTCCACAGAGGTTGCCCTTGTAGGTGGTTTTGCTAGAGTGTGCACTGGCAGATCGTGATGGGCATTATAACACAATACTCTATATTGGCATCAAATAATTTGTATTTTGGGGCTCTTTATGTTTCATTAGATCTCAAAGCATAGGCGTGAAGAATCTTTCTATAATATTTACTAATTATATAAGTAAAACATGGAAAACATCCATTTGCAATCAAATAGAGCATGTTAAAACTTTGTTTTTACAGTTAGCACACTATTTCAAAGACAGGGCATTTATAGTTTTTATCCCTAAGGTGCTTTTGGTAAGAGTAGAAATAAATACTTATGCTAATTTAAATGGTCAAGCCTAATAAAGAAATATAGAACTGTGAAATGTTTATTTTTTAATTATTGTTTCTTTGTGTAAAGCTATGCCTTATAAATTGGTTCTACACAGCCAAGAGCATGTAAAATATATAAATGTCAATTATATTCAAGCTTACCATTTAGCCAGCCTTAAGTTTTTGAGCAAGTCATTGAATAACCTGATTTTTTCGGTTGCATGAAATTATTACTAAACTAGGACACAAGTTCCTATGAGTTATAATAGAGTGAGTCTTTTCCCCTATCACTGATAAAACCTTTCATTAGCATTCTCCCATTGAATTAAAAGAAAATGTTACCATTAAAGCTGAAACAAGGAAACTATTATCTCATTGCCTCTGCTTCATGTAAACTAGAAAAATAAGACTGAATTGGATGACACACTAAACTGAATGAGTTTAAGGATGTCCTAGACATAGTCCGATTGAAGACAGGTAAGAATCGGGTTTATTTGCACATCTTCTGATTTAAAATAGGAAGAGTAAAACTTGAAGAACAGTAGTGCCTTTTAGATTTTTAAATGGAAGAGTCACTTCCCCGAGGATCTTTTCCAAGCACTTGGTTGGCTGAATTAGCCAGGTCACGTTAGAGAGAATTATTTCCCTTTTATGGGAAGGCAGGAGGCAGGATTTCTTACTCTGTTATAAGGCGAGAAAGTGTTACCAAAGCTTTGAGTCCAAGATCCCCAGGACCAGCCCCGTGGCACAGCAGTTAAGTGCGCCCGTTCTGCTTCTCGGCAGACGGGGGTTCACCAGCTCGGATCCCGGGTGTGGACGTGGCACCACTTGGCACGCCATGCTGTGGTAGGCGTCCCACATGTAAAGCTGAGGAAGATGGGCATGGATGTTAGCTCAGGGCCAGTCTTCCTCAGCAAAAAAAAGGAGGACTGGCAGTAGTTAGCTCAGGGCTAATCTTCCTAAAAAAAAAAAAAGAAATCCCCAGGAGTAGTCCAGAAAAAAATACTTCACTTGAATCAGGAATAATGTTCTGTGGCAGAGATTTTAGGGATAAAACTGTGGAAACAGAATGTTATTCCAAATAAATTTCCTATGATGAGAGGGGCCAGGACGATAACATCCAACCAGTATGATGATCAAGTTTAAATTCCTGGGAATACTTGAGTGTTCCTTTTATCTAGGAAATTCATCATTATTGCTCTCACCTCTATTAAAATATTTATTTTTTTTAAAAAAAGAAAGAAGCAGGTGGAAAATGAATGTGATGTGGTCACTTATGGACCATAAAAATGATGGTTAAGTTATATGTCTTCAACCCACCTTATTATAATTTTAAATCACTTTCTCATATTTCAGCTCTTACAATCTTTTTTCTCCCATTAAAAAATAATCTCTTCGTTATAATTATTTATAAAGAAAAAGGGAAAGATAAGGCAGTAGGAAGTAAGCTTGACTGGAAAAGGATATACAGACAGAAGCTATGATAGGAAAGATGAATATTTCATCAGTAATAAATCAGTGAAGTTGAAACTTGACAAAAATTTCACTAAGAAAGCACCTGTGCTAAATAGCCAACAGCTACCTACAAATATACGTATCAGTGAATTCCATACTCAAAATATTGGCTGCTGTCATTTACATATAATCTTGGCAAATGATTACAGCAATTATGATTACATGTGAGTTTAAAGATATAAAAAACACATAAAAGTGGAATGGAATTTCTGAACTATGTAGAAACATCTTTGTTCTTCATGTTTTATCTTTAAATTATTATTTTTATATTCATTTAATGATGAATTTTGCTCTTTTTTCCTTTTTTTATGACGCTACCAATTTATTCTTGTAACTCCGTGTCCATCATAATTTCTCCCCACTATCCTATCTACAAAGCCTCTGTCTTATCTTTTCCTTCAGCGTGGGTGCTTTACACAGTTTGGCCACCAGATGGCTACCCAAGAAAAAAAGTCAACACGGATGAAAAAAAGATACAAATAATCTAAAGGCAACACATCCTGTGCTGCTTTAAAACTTCCTTTTCAAGGAGAACTAGAATGTGAATGGATGAGTAGGAGGCAGAGTTTGTGATTTTGTTTTAATTCATTTAGAGGTGGTGGTGTTGTCGTTTTTAAGAAAAATTTCAAACATAAGCAAATCAGGAGAATAGTACAATGAACCCCCACGGATCAATCACCGAGCTTCGATAATTATCAACTTGTAGCCAATCCTATTTCATCTCTATCCTACAAACTTGATTCTCTCAGTTCTGCTTTTCCTCACCATAAATACTTTTACAGAGGAAAAATTTGTTTCATAGTTTATATCAGCAAAGACAGATGGGAGGTTTATCTTTTAAATATACTATTTTTCTAATGAATTTTAATAGAATACTATCATTTCAAGGTAATATTACTAGTGATAAAATAGAGGTTGATTTTGCTTTCATGGATTTAAGTGGTAGTTTAGTACATCTAACTTCATTTAATTAGTTGGTTAGTATCATGACAACTGATAATGTAAATTACGTTAAAGTAGAATGGTGGCAATATACATGTTAGTGTGTTTGCCTTTCAAGGTATCCACAGCCACTAGACACTTTCAAATCTACAAAACTTTGTTCAACATCTACAGGATGAAATGTTAGCAAGAAAGTTCTCAATTGGTAACTTTTAGCATTTTATTTTGAAGGCTCTGGCTGACATTTTTTTTAAATGGAAAATTAACATATTTTGTAAGCATATTATATCTTTCAGTTTTTATATCTTCTATAATGTCATGTTCATGCATATAAAATAATTTGTATTTTAATACTAATGCATTGCATACATATGACCTTTTAATTAAAGTTTCAGAAATTACAGACTCTGATATGTGTAACTAGAAGAAACTCTTAAGGAAATGCTGCAATTTATAAATATGACAAAGGAGTATTTCTAAATTATTTTGAAGGTTTCCAGAAGTTATGATAATCAATCATCAATTAATGCATCACAACATAAAACCTTTAGGTTTCCTCTACCACTATGTCAAAAGTTAGAAAGTTATTATTGTAGATGACAGGAAACTGAAATAGCTTTAGAAACTGAACAAAACTGACAAAATTGACATGCAACAAGATTGGTTTTAATTCAACAACAGATTACTGCTTAGGAATTTTGAATACAGATGTATAACACAAGAACATAAGCTCTACATGCAAAATACATCATATTGCAATACTGAAATGGTAAATTACACTCATCATGCAACGTGGGGGCACAGCACATGACAAACCACAGGACACCACAGTAGTTAGTGTTCCAAAGACTTTGTCACCTACTTGTCAATAGAGCCCACCATGTAGTAAACCATTGGAAACCAACAGATTGCATCCAGAAAATGCATATCTGGCCTAAGTAGCAGATGGGTTACAAAATGAAACAGAATGTCACAACAGTGGCAGCACTTCTACAGAAAGGAAGTAAGTTGACTTAGTTTGCATTTCCAAAACTAAACACTGTTGACAAAATTAACTTCAAGCACCTTTGTTCTTAACGTTAATTAGAAGATGTCATTTGTACTTGTTGTGGATAATATAATGAACTCAGAATTATAAAATCAAGTTGTATTTCTGCTTTCTAAATCAGAAACATTATGGCACTGTTCTACAAAAAGACTGGAGTGATACTCTTAATTATGACTAAAAAGTCTTATCAACGAGTTTAAAAGTTATTCATGCAGAAGAAACCTGATAAAATGAGGAACTAATAATTTTTTCTTAGATGACCCGAAGTTTTGGGAACTAAATTAGCAGGCCTATTAAGAGCAACTTTCTCTAAGGGATATATAGAATTACAACATGCCTCTTAATATATCAACATACCAATCAGCAAATATGTATATGTACACATGCACTCTATGTATTTTATAAAATTAAAATTAAAGCAGTTCACTTTTTAAGTTATTGATTCACTCAATATATACTGTTGAGCAAATATTTATTATAACTGAAATCTTTACTATATGCATATTTAGGGAAAGAATCATAAACCTGGAAGCTTCCTTAGCAATCACTTAATCTATTGTATTCATTTTATAAAGTTATTAATTCTTTCATGCATCTATTCACTCAGCATATATGTTTCCAAAATATTTTATATAATAGACATTTTAATATACTCAAGCATATGTAAAAAAGAATATCATGTTAACTTGTACTCAAAGAGAGTTTTTGAAACATATGTACCAAAGCGCACCATTATAATATATGTTTTAATATGAAAAAATAAACAATAGGTTGCACTCAGGAGGCAGAATTGGGGATCACGTCACCGAGTTGATCTTTTAATTTGGCTGTTGAAAGATGAAAAGGCATTTGCCCAGTAAAAGAGAAGGAGGGAAATTCCAGGCAAAGGGAATATAGAAGTTATAATATCTCAGATGCTTATCACAACTAGATGAAGTCTTTTCTTCCCCGACTTATTTTCTTCCTATTGATCATCCCCGTATCCCTTTACCCTTTAAAGAAAAAGAAAGCTCAATACAGTGAAGAGTAAGAAGAAATATTCCAAGATCACCACTGTTGTAATTCCTCCCATCATTAAACTTCTTCACAGCCATTTGAAACAGCCCCATGTTATTACATATTATAAATGCACCACAGCTCATTTGAAAAATCTTCAATTATTCAGTTAAGTTATTTTCACTTTTATGCTATTAATTATTGAAGTTACAAGTTATTTCCAATTCTTACTATTACAAATGATACTGGGATAGACATCTTTGGATGACCTTTTTCCAGCATTAGTTTTTATCATTGACCCCAAAACATTCATAGAAGAGATATTAGTGAATCAAGACTATAAATATTTTTAAAGCTTGTGAAGTATGTTGTTTTCAACAAATATGATAACAATATACACTCCCGATAACCATCTTTTACAGTGTGTTCTAGTTCTTTTTCTGGTCACTGCTTGCTTCTTAAAATTAGAAGGATCACTCTAACTGCTGATTCAAACCTTCCATGTCTCTCTTACCTTCCCTCGTGATTGTAGAAACATGTGTGAGAAGGCACGTACCACAAGAGTGGGGCAACCCTGAGATTTTACGATGGGTTGAAAAATCCTTTCACCTGTGTCTTGTTTTGGCTATTGTTTTCTCTTTGCTTCTCTATAGTTCCAGTCAGATAAAGTGAGTAGCTACAATTTATGTGGCAGAGTTGGATACATAATTCTTCGTTATTAATTATAGATATACATCCTTGCTGGAATAATCTCATTTTTAGTCTGACTCATTCTTTTAAATTCAGATTATTTCAGAATCTTGATGCTTTCTTCTCTGACCATCTGCCCAATGTGACATATCTTTCTTCTATCATCTTGCAACATTATTTAATATTATTGAATAATTCAACTTAACCAGGATACTCAAAATCTTCTGTGTAATAAGAAGCACACCGGGGTCACTGGGGACCAAGTAAGCCCTTACGTTATGTCAACCTTCTGTTAGAGTTAAAACTGGAGATACAGCCTTTGCATTTTGTTGTGTTGTCCAATAGGAATCATTAAAAGTACTTGGACATCAGAATTATCGCCTTGCTTTAGGAAACTCACAAATTTCAGTCACAAGCAATTCTGCCGCAAACGTGTATTTACAATGCTCAAGCAATCGTCCAAATCCTGAGAAATTACTTTAACGTCTGTATTGTGGTAGCAGAGTTCATCATAACATGAATTCAGCTGTGTTACAAGGAAAATCAAGTATATATCATCCCGATGAAGCATATCTAATGTAAGAAGTCTAATTAACACCATACTCTTGGCAAAATTTAACTTGTATAACAAATAGATCATCCACTACTTCTCTCAGTAAAGGTGGTTTAAAGGGAAACCTGAAATATAACGAATATATAAATTGTATATTTACATATATTATGTTGCCTCATTTAAATGAAATGGCAACAGAGTTTGTGACATTGAACTGCTTAGTAATTAATGAGTAACATAAATGATATCATAGGCTCTTCATAGACTAATCTTCCTAGTTATTGAGAGATAGTTAATTGGCAAACATAAACTTTACATTGAGAAGCATTATTATTGAAAAATACTAAGCAAAAAAGGGAAAACATTTATAAAAGTAGATGTCCCTTTCTTATGATACACTCCCAAAGTAGACATGAAGAGTAGAATGTAGAAAAATAAAACCACTAATAAAATAGAATAAAGTGCATGCAGTTTTTTTAATCTGTCTGCTACATAAAGAAGGTCTATCTATGTTGGCAGTTACATTAATGAAAAGTAGTGAAAATGACTGATCGGTTCAATTGTAAAGCTTACCACAAAAATTTTAACATTTAAAAAAATGGTGAAAAATGTTACTTATACGAAATTTGTAGATCAAATTTGCTTAATATATAAAGAAGTATTTTAAATCAAACACGACAGGAAAATAGATCTAGGGCAAAATAAATACGCATAGACTAAACCAAAACATGTTGAAACCAACTAGTATGAAAAGAAATAAAAACTTCAACAAACACAAAAATGATATTAATAGAGAAAAATGATTGCATCATTAATCAGAGGTCTAAGAGAAGTTTTATTAAGAAAGATGACTACGTATGAGTCTAAACATCATATCCTACAAAATCTTTCACTAGAAAAGTTATCATGATATGCAAACATTAATTAGCTAATGATTGCTAGGAAGTGAAAAGGTTTGTGAATTTGCATAGATTTGCAAAGTTGAAGATCATTATTTTCCATTTAACTAATAACTGTAATGAACTTAATTTCTTTATTTCATATTCAAAAAAAAATGAATGTAGTGAGTTTTTGTCAGTATTTCATAATTCCACTTTTAAGTAGTTTATTTCTTACTTAAAATTATATAAGGAGTTTCATTTCAACAACACGAAATAAGTTTCCCTTCTTTGTTAGTTGGGATTCCACACAAATCCACTCATCGGTTTGAACAGTGACAATGTCCTTTTCTTGATGGGTAGAAGGGAGGGAAAGTGACATTTCCTGACCTCCTTTCATTAGTCAGATATTGCACTAGTGTCTCACATACATTACCCCGTATAATCTCAAAATAAGAAAAATGTTCTACTCATTCTAAAAATGAGAAAATTGAGCCTTAGAGAAATTCATGCAACAGGTCTATTAAGAGGGTAAGCTGAGGCTATATCTCAGATTTGTATGAATCCAAAGTTTGAATATCTTAGTAAGAACCCTGATATATCAGACATTTAGTCATTACTCTTGAAATAAGCTGAACTGAAGTTGACTTGGCACTCTGTGTGAAAAGAAGATTGATTGAATAATGGGAGAGTGTAAACAAGATGTAAAAATGAGGAATGTAAGCTTGAATCTTGCACTTCAACTCTGTGTAGCTTTGGGTAATATATTCCAAAGCTTTTGACTGTCTTTTCTGTCTCTCATATGAAGTGGTATTATCAGATGACTAATGTTGGGCTGGTAATCAAAATATTTAAAATCAGTATGGCACAATAACAAACCAAATGGAACAGACGGCCCACCAATCAGAACTGAGACCAGCTCTAAGGAACCAGTATCAAGTGCAAGGCATTTTCCAAAGCGACTGGATTTCATTTAATTACCATATGAGAACTAGAAGGCTTTCTATTTGGAAACATTGTGAATATTTATTTTGACATATTATGTGTGTGAATATTAGAAATTTAATTTACATTTTAAAATACTATATTTATGACATCTGTTATTATTTATTTCCATTACACTGAATTAATTGGTCTTTCAACTTAATTTCCTAAATAGTCATTTATTGAGTACTCTATTGAGCATTGCTCATGTGAATTTAAAACAAAATCAGGCCCCACTAAGGTAACCAATAATTGTAGAAGTGTGTACAATCATTAGTGTATAAATTCTAATGTGAAAATATTTTAAGGAAGAAAGCATCATATTTCTTTACAACATTGTAGGATAGATTGCAAAACACTAGCCACTGCAGAGTAACAGGCATCTTATTGTTAAAAAAAAAAAAAAAAAACACATAAAACTTCCTGGAACATTTGTTTATTGGTGTTCAGTTTTGTTTCCTCATTCTTGACCAAATAAACAGGGGACAACAAAGAAGAAGCTTAGACCCACCTTTCTGGAAGTACGGAGGAAGCTAACCAATTTTACAGTGTGCGCTTCTATCCTAACTCTTTGCAAGAAGGTCAAACCCCACAAAAATCATCTAACACACAACATCATGTGTATAGTTGATTCCAAAACATTAAGTCATTAGGAAAGCAAAGGAAATTTTTAATGCCAAATAATCCAAAGTTAAAATATATTCTTCCTTCTAAAAAGAATTGGCAATGTATTTTTTGCATGTATCAAAAACCTGTAACTTAGGTAAGATCATATAGTTGAAAGAACAATGAACTATGAATTGCATAGAAGGTTCTAATCCTAGAATTGACCTTGGAAAATGCCATTTAACTTCTTTGGTCTGTTTTTCTTTGTCTATAAAATAGGGATGCTGGTGTAACCAAGTCACACAGACTGGTTTATTTAAATGTTATCATGGAACTCGTAAGCTTCGACATTTTAAGCTGCTTGGTACATCTCTCTGAGGACAAATCATCACTAAAGAATGTGGATATATTTCTTATGGGAATAAAATGTAAAATAAAGGTAAAGTGATTAGTGTAATGGCTGACATGTAGTAAGTGCTCACAAATTATTATTATGAACAGAGAGTGGAGGTAAAGAATATTAATTTTACTAAACGATCTTTATGGTCTCATTCAGATAAAACATTCTCTGATGAAAGCTACATCTATATTTATACAGAACTACTGACCAGTGCACCAGTAATTGAGAGAAACAGAGTTTTCAGATTTTTCTGTGATTGTTCAGATTCAGGAATTAAGACTGTAAACACAATCACTTGATTTTATAATTTTAATTTACAAATCAATCAACCAATCAGTAATTGGGCATTTTGGCAAACTGTTTATTCAAAACCTAACAGAAAGAGACTGATTTAGTTATAGCCATTTCAAAGCCTGCATAAATTGCACATGCTAAGTAACTCTAGCTCCCACCACCTGCTCAGTGGGATAAGGGGGAGAAGAGGGAATTAGTGATGCTGAGATGGGATTACTTAGCAAGACTGGATACTGAAAAAGTTTACTCCATCCCATGGAGTAAACTGCACTCCCAAATTTGGAGAGACTAATTCTTTTGGAAAGTGTGATATTGTGATTTATAAGATGACCAAATTTAGAATATATTCATTTCTCATATATATTTGGTCTTCATATACGGTTCCTGGCTCTCCCCAAAATCTTGGAATTTTCTGAGCAATAAGAGCAATGGCAGCATTTTTTTGTCATAATATTTTGTCTCTTGTTCTCAGTTCCTGAAATCACTTCGGAACCATAAAGGTGAAATGGGTTTCTTGTTATTCACAACAAGCCCCTTTCCACCACAACTGGGTTTATGTTAACGAGGCGACTCTTGGAAAGTACCTAAGAATGGGGTCTGGTTGCCAGGAGAACCAACCATGAACAGAAAGAAGGTTGGAACTTTCAGTCTCATTTCCTGATTTCCAGGGAGGGGAGAGGGGCTGGAGATTGAGTTCAATCACCAATGGCCAATGATTTAATCAATCATGCCCATGTAATGAAGCCTCCATAAAAACCCCAAAGGACAGCGTTCAGAGGGCTTCCAGGTTGGTGAACATGTGGAGATTTGGAGATAGTGGTGCTCTGGCAGAGAGCATGGAAGCTCCACACCATTTCCCCATACCCTGCCCTATGCATCTCTTCCAACTGGCTGTTCCTGAGTTACATCCTTCTATAACAAACAGATGATCCAATAAGTAAAATGTTTCCTGAGTTCTGTGAGCTGCTCTAGCAAATTAATCGAACTTGAGTAGGGGGTCTGATTTATAGCCAGTCGGTCAGAAGTACAGGTAACAAACTGGACTTGCAACTGGCGTCTAAAGTCCAAAGAGGAAGTCATTGGAACCTCTAATCTACTGCTGGTTGGTCAGAAGCTCAGGTGATAACCTGGGCTTGCAAATGGCTTCTGAAGGGGCAGGGGTTGGGGGGGTGGGTAGTCTGGTAGGACTAAACCCTTAACCCGTGGTACTTGAGGCTATTTCTGGGTGGATAGTGTCAGAATTGGGTTGAACTGTAAGATGTTCAGCTCATGTCCTGAGCATTGCTTGTTGGAGGTGTGGGGAAATCCCCCGAACACACACACGTTGAAATTGGGTCTCAGAACCAATTAGGAGATTTACCCATCAGGACAAGATGTTTTACCTTGAAATAATGTAAAGCAGGGGAAGGGACAGTGTCTGCCCTTTGCTTTGCCACAGGGATGCCACAAGCACAGTTCTGTTTCTTTCTTTTCAAGTTTCTTCCTATCTTTCTCTCTGTATTCTGGGGCCTGAGTTGATCCACTCTGATTCAAGCCATACAAGATGGGGAAGCTCTAAGGCAATCAGCTTGTAAATGCCCCTGTCTTAAATTCTATCCCTAAGGGAGTGGACACACCATAAGCAAAAAGAGCCAAAACCTGACATGTTTGAATTCACATAGTTAATCGAGCATCTCTTGTGGCAAGCACAACCAGTCTCTCAGAGCTTCTTATCAGAGAAGTTCCAGAATAAGAGATATATTGAAAGGCCTTGGAGGTGGTTGGCAACCACTCCATCGCCATAGCCTTCCTGCAACCCAACTTGCATTCTCTTAAGATTTGTTTTATTAAGGTTTTATTTCTTCTGACATTGGGTCCAAGTTTCTGTTCTCCAACACCTGCCCTAAATTTACCTCACATCCCCTTGGATGCCAAAGTGGTATCAAAAAGTGCCATTGAGTCATCATACCTGAAAATTCTACAACTGAAGCCTCTAGAATTGTGCACAATTTTTAGAGTTGGTTATCATTGTGATGATGCTAAAAAAGATGCATCAGTGACTATCCTGATATTGCTATCTTCAGAATAAATAATACTGTGAAGCTATGACATATTGGGGAGCAATCTCTGTTTTGAGAAACTTCTTTTTATAAATTTTAAAGGCAGAGACAAGGGAACAGACTTTGGCCCCATTCGGTTTACCCGGAAATTTGCATCACTTTGGAATTTAAGAGGAGAGTTGGAGAATCATATAATATGGTATTGATCTAAGGACCATCTGCTACTAATTTCAAGTCACAGAGAGGAATACCATAATTTTAGGATACAATGGATTTGACCATAGCATTTAGTGACTTATATTTATAGTTGCATAAGGATTCTGAAATGCTTAAGTAGTCTCATTTCACAAGAGTATACCAATCCAAACTTTTCAAAATAAAAGAACATGGTAAAGCATTAATTATTCATGTTATGTTATAGAATGTATGTTTTAACAGTGGAAGAATCATAATTTATTATGATGTGGCATGGTATCACATAAAAGTGGATGATTAATATGCTTCTTTGATAATTAATGCTTCTTTAGAAAGATAAAATTGTCCAGTTTTGGCAGAGATTCGCCAGGCTAGTTGGTTAATTTAGGGAAAATAAGTATAATTATTTCAGTGGCGTGTTTCCCACTGGTATTAGGTAATGACCACTTGCAAAATAGTTTTAAATAGAAAGCTCAGAGCCCTCCAGTGATGTTTTAAGCAGTATTTGTGAAACATAACCATGCTCAATGATTGTTTTGCACCACCGCACAGAGTCTATCTCCCAATGAATCATGTGCCATAATGCATCTGATTTAAAATATTCCAAGTAAATGAAAATAAGTTATTTTTGATATAACATTAAAAACTTTTTGTGTTGTTTGTGTATTTTAAAACATACTTACGGGTTATCCAATAGCAGTACTACGGGATTAAGTTCTTTCTTTGGTCTATAATATGCCCTGAGAGGAACAATAAAATTATACAATCCATTTCCAGCTGTTTCAGCTGCAACTATAATGAGTTTATTTTTGAATCCATAGGCTTTTGCGTCCTCATAGTAGTTATGCTGGCAACTCTAGAGAAGAAAAATTATACAAAGAAACGCCATTTTTATACTCCACTAAAATTCAGTGCAAAAATTTAGGATATAGGGACACGTAAAATTATCCTAACTTAGGAAATGCTTTATTTTTTAACAAATTCGAAAATAGTTAGATTTTTCTATGCTAAGCAGTTGTCCACGCTGCTTTAGGAAATGAAGGTGTGCATGGACGAGACAAATGAGTTGCAGGTATGTAGCTTGATGTGGGGGAGGAAGGACTTAGCAATATGTGTGTACATATGTTCTGTTGTGACCTAAAACTCACTGTTAGATGACATCTCGATATCTATATTTAAAAATGATCACAATGTGTATGTATATCAAAACATCACGTCATATACCTGAAATATACACAATTTTTATTTGTCAATCATACCTCAATAAAGCTGGAAAAAATTATCTATCTCTGACTTTCATTTCCAGAAATATAACAATATTATAAATAAATAACCTGGGAACAATCCAAGTACTGAATAACTAAAGGGAAGGATACCAAAAGAGATTTTTGTTGTTGTTATTAAGAAACAAAAAAAGCCCTTAATTATAAATGAATACCTGAACTGGCAAGATAATGATAGAAATACTCAAAAGTAAAATACTAATACAAATAATAACAATAAAAAACATAACAATCACACATTACTAAAACTCGTTGTCCTGAGGGTATTTTGCTATTTCCTGGGGGGCTAAACCTTACTGGACTTGGTATTATTAAACCAAGATTCTTTTAAACTAAATTATGTGCATGAAGAACCACTTTAGCGTTCTGCCTTTGCATTTTTATGGGTGTCTATGTGAGTTTCTTCTTATTTGGGTTGAGATTAGTTGGTTCTCTATAGATTCATCATCAATTCTAGGATATTCTCTGCCTTAATTCTTTAATAAAAAATTACAAAACACTTGGGAACAAGGCACCATGAGTCAGTAGAAACAAAAAAACAAAACAATTAGCCTCACAAAGACTATAGATTTTGCTGTTATAAGATGCAGAATATAAAATGAGCATCTTTATTATGTTTAAAAAGATACAAGAACATTTGAAGTATGAACAAGAAACAAGAGGCTGTTTAAAATACTCAGGTGAGTGTTAAAAATTACATATATTCTCTTCTAGAACTAAAAACTATAACAACTACAAATAGAAACTCAAAAGATGGTTTAAATTGCACATTTGATGAAGCTGAAGGGATGAACTCCCAGATAAAGTTGAAGTAATTACTCAGAATGCAAGAAGAAACGAGATAGAAAGTAGTATGGAAAAATTAAGATACTTGGAAAATGGTGTGAGAACATCTTACATGTATTTAAAGAGAACACGTGAAAAAGATATGAGAGAATCAGAAAGAAGTTCTATTCATGTAAATATTGTCTGAGGATTTTCTAGAATTAATGAATTACCCAAATCCTTAGATTCTGGAAAGCCAATGAATCTTAATCCAAATAAATAAGGAGAAATCTAGTTCAGATACCTTGCAATAAAAGTGCAGAAGTACGAAGACAATGAGAGGATCTTAAAAGCAGCCAGAGAGAAAAGAGAATACCCACAAGGAACACAGATCAGAACGATGGCTAACTTCTCAACAGCAATGTGGAGCCCAGAAGGCAGTAAAGAAAATCCTAATGTACTAAAAAGAAAAAAATCTCATAGCCTGGTATTGAACACTGGCAAAACCATCTTTCAAGAAGGAGAGCAAAGTAAGGACATTTCTAGGGAAGCTGAAATTAAAAGAATTTACCACTCATAACATCTTATTAAAAGGATTTTTTTAAAGCTGTAAACTAGGAAATAGGAAAATGCATCCAGAAGGAAGGTTTAAGGTCTAAGAAAGAATAGAGAAAAGGGAAATGATAAAGAAGAAGGGCAGTAAGTCTACACTGGAAGTATGATTGGAGAATTACGAAAAGGAGCAGGATCTGAAGCCACATGATGGAATGAGGTCACTCACAAAGAGGTCGTGGAAGGAGAAGAGTGACAGGTTGACATTGAGATTATCAAGAACTTCAATATTTGAGAGAGAAGATGAGAAAAAAGAGCTAATTTAGGAGATTTAGAAGTAGTTCAATTAGTACGGAAAAAAAAACCAAGCAGAAAACAAGGGATTTAGTGTTGATAAACTTTGACCAGGAACCAGCCTACTGATAGTGATGCAGAATGGTTTTGGCAACATAATCCCAACTCACACACATCACAGATGCAGTAGGATTGACTGCCTAGTCCCATCCCTTAATGACAAAGTGGGCACTCACTTGCATAGCAGACCACCACCTCCAGCCAGCCAATGCTACCTAAACAATGGATGATCCAAGATGTCATCAGGCAGTCAGCAACACCCAGAAACTTTGCCTTCTCAATATGGGAAAGAGACAGTGTGTAGTCTTTCGGCTTTCAAAGACCCTCTATTGCTCCTCCACTAATTCTGAAATCTTAGCTTTTTAGTTGTATCAGATTCCCTGCTTGGAGATCAATCATTTCCACTCTTTGGTCTCCCAGTATATTTTTTCTCTTTAACTGTGTGATAAAGTAAAACACCACCAGAAGCAAATCCAGGTATTGTGGGCCTAAAGATTATATTATTTGGGGAATCCTCTTTATGGAAAATAACACAAATATTATAAATAAAAAAATAATTATAGGTTCTTGGAAGGGGCCAACACACGTGAAGGACCCTAAAGCTTAAGATTCATTAATGTTGCCAAAAATACACAGCTAGCCAATGCTATCAAATGCTGCAGAACATCAAGTAAAACAAGGACTAAAAAAAAAAGTAACGCATTGACAGACTGAACTGTCTATCTTAATGGGTCCAGATGAATATTTGGGAGAAATGGCAAATATTCACAAAACAACGTCAGGAAGATGAAGGGAGAAATTTTCTAATGTTCTGTTAATCTTCCTCAAGAGTGACAGCAACAGCCAAGATTCATAATGTTTATCATACAAAAAAAAAAAAGAAGCAAGAATGTTAACAAAATGTAGTAAGTGCCTATCCATTTATTAAGTACCTGGCACTGTGTGAAACTTTTTAGATGCACTAATTTATATAATCTTCACAAGAGTCCTATGAAGTTCCTATTAAAATTACAACCATTTTGCAGAAGTGGAAACTGAAATTTAATGGTGACATTATTTGCCCAAATTGCAAAGCTTATAAGAGGAGAGCTGGGATTTTAACTCTGGCTAACTCCAAAATTTAGAGTAAAAGAAGAAATTCCTGTTTAGAATTAGTGGCACATTTTATTCCTGGGAGGTGGGGCATTTGAGAATCTTTTTTTTTTTTTTTATCTGCTTTCTTATTCATCAGGAGAAGAAACTCTTGTACAGGTCATGCCCAGTGGCCATATGGTGAAAGATAAAAATTCTTGCATTCTTAGAGTCTTTCTGTTTTGGATGGCTTCTCTAGAACATCCACGCAGGAACCAAAAACTACAGTAAAATATTTAGGAAAGGAGACACCAAGCAAGACACTGATACTAGCTTCCAGTCTAGTCAATAATAAATCTCTGTGGCTGACATGTGGACTAGCTACTTTCACCATGTCAAGCGATTCCACACAGATTTGAGACAAAAATGCCTGGTAAAATAGAGTACACATCTGGCCAAGGTGATTTTGGGAGACCGGATGCTGAGAATTCATAGGTTTGAGATTCTGTCACCTTTGTTTTACTCTTTGAAAGCATGCCTAATGACTTATTGGGTATTTTAGAAGAGAAGTAAAGCATTTGGGTAATCTTTAGTGCAGTTAAGGTAAAATTCACCACTCAATGTACTATATTTACATTTGAACATATTTTAGTGAAAAGACTACATAAAATTATTTAACTATATGTAATTATACAATGCCATAATTTTAGTTTTGGAGAGAATAACAGCAACAAGTACTTACCTTGTCTAGTCTTAAGCAGCAAAATGGCACTTTCTCATGAAGGAGATGACAAAAAGTGGGTGAACTTCCTATATATGGAGAGTAAGGTGGGTAGCCTTTAGCATATCTGTAAAACAATATGAAATATTGAATTGCCTTGAATAATGCATGCAAAGTTAGACTATTAAGTTATAGCCATGTTCCTCTATTTTGACAAAGTTAGTTACAGTAACTCCTTATGTTGCAATCACAATTTGATAAAGAAATAGTTTACAACAGGAAGAGGCAAAATAGGGCCCATGGAGCAAATCTGGTCCATTACCTGGTTTTGTAAATTAAAAGCAGCTTTTATGTTTTTAAATGGTTGGGAAAAAAATCAAAAGAAGAATAATATTTCACAACACATGAAAATTACATGAAGTTCAAATTTCAGTATCTATAGGCAAAGTGTGTTCAGAACACAGCCGTGCTCATTCATTTCATGTATTGTCTATGGGTGTTTTCATGCTTCAAAAGCAGAGATGAGTAGTTGCAGCAAAGACCATATGGTCTATAAAGTCTAAAATATTTACTAGCTCTTTCTTTCCAGAAAAAGTTCGCCAATTCTCAGTTTAAAAGATTTAGATAGATTATAAAAAATAGTAATGTTAATTTTTATAAAACACATTTAAAGCAAAATGTATTATTATGATTCACTCTATCAATATTCATTAGTCACGGATGCATAACCAAAAAGGAGTAAATGATTGAGTTAATTATTCAGTTAAACCCCTACCAAAAATAGAAATTTGCTGGAATCATGCTTAAAATATCATCAAAGATACTCAGTTTGTTTGCTGACTTTATAAAAGCAGCCACCTGCCCATTATGCCTGTACTAATTTTCAAAATGGAACTATCAAAAAGTAGCAGCATAACTGAAAACTAAGAAAAAAAGAAAATTTAGCGGAGGCAAAATTCCTTTATCTGACATAAAAGCTCTTGCTTTGATAAAAATGTACCTTCTAAACCAAGAAATTTCAAACCTAGTTTGACATCATTAGCTAGGAGGATAAAATGGAGCACATTTTGCAAATTTAGAAGTTGATAATCTCCACTATTACTTCAACATCTTTTTCATTTTTCTAGAAATAAAAGAATTCCACCTCTCCATCTTTTCAGAAGTATATGTAAAGAAAGAATTTCAGTCCTACCATACGACACCATTTCTAGAAATATACTGGTGGTCTAACCTCTCTTTGTTGCCATCAAATATTTCATAAATATATTTGAGTACTATTGATTTCTTGGAGAGCTGAATGTGTTCCGTGGGCACATCAAAGTTTCTTGTAACAAATTCTTAAAAAGTGTGAAGGATTAAAAAAAAGGATTTTTCTAAGTTTCTATGATATTTCAGTTCATTTTAGTTTAATTCAACATTAATTGAACATTTATTATATGAAAGATATTGGGAGAAATGTTCGAATGGTGTTACCGTTACCACTAACACCAGCACTATACCTAACAGTAATTAATACTTATTGACTGCTTACTCTACACAAAGCATTGTCCTAAGCACCTTTTCTCCATCCTCTCAGTTACTCTTCATATGAACACTGAGGCAGTAGCTATACTGAGTTTACAGATAAAGGCATTGTGGGGCAGATTGTTTAATCAAAGTCACTTGCACACAACCAGTATAAGGTGGAACTGCTATGGGAAACAAATTCTTTCAGACTCCATGATAAGCCTGTTGACTGCTGTGCTTTCCTCAAGAAATGGCAATATGACATGTGAATGACAGGTAAAGAATCTCTAGGAAGGCTAAATGTGATTAATAGCATGCACATTGGTACTGTTTATTATGGAAGCTTAGAAAAGAGAATTAGTACTTCATTTGCTCATTCATTCAAAATATTATTGATGTATACTGTGTGAAAGATGGCAGAATGCTGAGATGAATAAAGGAAGCTTACTGGAGGAAGCTGTGTTACATGTCATTATTGATTGAACTTCAACATGGACATGGGAGAAAACAAATTAAAGGTAGAGATACAATATAATTTAAAAAACCATGCAATTATGAAAAAGCAGCTTATATCATGGAAATACTAATTTATGTTTTTTTTTCTTTAAGGATAAAGGATAATTTAGATAAAACTGAGCCTGGAAATATATCTTGAAACGACAAATTTGAGGGCTTAGAATACTCCATAGTTGAGAGAGATACTAGCCAAGAGGAAGAGTGTTTTGGTAGAAGTATGTAGGATGGATTCTAGAATGCCCAGAAGGTAAGGATATTAGTTCCTTAGGGGAAGCCCAAATCCCAGGAAATCTTACACCTTAAAGTATCTAAACATACTCTAAGTTTGAGGAAATTTCTTCATCTGGCGTAGTTTCATCTTCTGATTGATCACTTAGAAGATCACAGGTTTGAATTGACGATGTATCTGCAACCTCTAAAACAGGAGCGATGCTAGGTCTTCTGATTTCTTTGCTTCCCTCTGTGGGAAGAGACAGGGTAGGGCCACTTGCTGATCTACAGCTCGTGTCTTGCAAGTCTATAGCCACAGTACCTAAAACAATGAAACAAGAAAATCCATCAAAGCATTTGCCACCTATGTGACATGCCGACCACTTAACGATCAAAATGAAACAAAGCACCATTAGGAAAGATATTGTTTATCCTTTAATCTCAAAGGTTATTTATGTCTTATTCATGTGGGCATTTTTATCCACATGGATAAAAAATTCTGTATTTGTACAAAACTGTATTTGCTGAGTCTAGCTCTGTAGCACAAAGCACAAGATCTGTGAAATCCTGATATACTTAGGAATTAAAGTGAAAAAATACCTTGTTTCCATTTCCATTTATTTAAAATTAACCAAAAAATTTTCTGGCCCCTTCAGTTTTGTGGATTTCTCATTATATCTTCTCCCCTCATTTTGTTGAGTTATCTTTCTCATACTGATTTGTAACCACTTTCTTATATTACAACCCTTAATATTTTATATTTATTCAACACACGTTTATTAAGTACCTACTATGTGACAAGCACTATTCTAGGTTCTTGGGATATGCAGGGAATAAGACAGACAAGGTCTCTACACATATGGATTTATCTGTAAAATAACCAAGTAGACAAATAAATTAAAAAAGTCATTTTAGATAATAGTAAATATCGTGCAGAAAATAAAACACAATGCTGTGATAAAGAATAGCGGGGTTGGGGGGCTGGAGGGGGAACGAACTTTCACTAGGTGGAAAAGAAGGGCGCTCTGAGGTCATGACATTGATTTTTGACCTGAGAGACAATAATGAGCGCACAAGCCATGGGAATACCTTGAGGCAGTAAGAACAGCAAACCTAAAGAACTTAAGGCTTTTGAATACTTGGGTACCCAAGGAAGAGCAAACAGAAGAAACAACTTCCTTTGGAATCTTTTATTGGAATTTAAAAATTAATTTAAACATCAATTTATGGAAAGTTGATGTCCCTCCCCTTCTGGAGAAAGTAATACAATAAAACTGATGAGTGCTGTCATTTCCATGCCCTCCCACTTCATTTACGCACTCAGTGATAGCTGGTCATCCTTCTAAAAAGCCCTTAGTCCTACTTTGTCCCATTCCTTTGAAGCAACTATTAAAACACTCTCCACTTCCCTCAAATCTCTGTCTGACCTTGCCACCCTCTTCACCATAAAGCGTGAGTTTTTAAAAAAGGAAAAGAAATCCATTAGGTTTTAGCATCTCTTTCCTTATACCATGGAAAGGGAGGTCAGCAACTGATTTCTAGAAACCTCTGAGAGCAATTCCAAGTCTTCATAGAAGAAGAGATAAAGAGAGAATGCCTTTGAGTGTGACCTGGCAGAGACAAGACTGGTGAGAATATTGGGATATTCCTCAAGATGGGCATAAATTTTGGGGGTCAAGTTTCAGAGGCTTGTACCTCTTCACATACACAATGTTCAGACTAGAGGGAGATGTGCCCTAGTGTTTCTGTTTTTGGTGGGGAAACCTTTAGTGAGGGACATATATGAGTATGGCTAGAACTGCTGTGCCCAAGACAAAGATGTGGCTACCAGCACTCAGCCATTCCGATACCCGAGCAGGGGTAAAGCTGGCTGCCATCAGAAATGATACACTCAGCCAATTTTTTAGCACCGTAAATAATGATTAATCTATAATTCAATTTATGTTTGGGGGCAATGGGGATTGTGATTCAAGAGAAAATGAGATTAAATTTTCCATTAAGCAGGTGAGTGGATTTGGTTAAAAATTAAATTTTATAAATTTGATTTATAAAATAAAGAAAACCCATATGATGTGATTTGCATCCTAATGTTATGAATTAAAATTCATGTTTATGACATTTATCCTCTGCAGATGACCATATTGTCTAATCCAGAGAGAAAAGAGAAGTTATCATCGAAGAAATTCTTCAACTGTCTGTCTAAACCAACAAATATGAGTTTCACCAAAATTTTCTTCCCCTATTTCTGTTTAGAAGGAAACAGACATATCTCCATTTATGTAAAGCTAATTCCTACTCTTGTTTTAGGGATTAAATCCCCTCCTATTTCCTAAGGAATCGTGATCTTTTAATTCCATGCCCTCCCAAATATATTTGACTCCACATCACCTCCAACTTCCTCTTTATCATTTTCCCGCCCAACACAGGGAAATTTGATCACTTCTCGATTATTCTGCCAACACTGATATCTGGCAGAAACCTGGGCATGGGGGATATGATCATGAGAAAGTTAGAAATAGCAGGGAAGATACAATTTAAAAAAGTTAAAATTACAGAAACAAGCTCTTCTTTGAACCTTTTATTCCTCTAGCAAAAACTGGCTCTTCCCTGACATCTTCCCCAGCAAGACTTTAAAGAGGTGCCTGTGTTTTGGAGGCGGATAAAGTCCAAAATCAAGGTGTTGAGAGGGTTGGTTTCCTCTGAGGGCTGTGAGGGAAAGATCTGGTCCAAACCTCACTCCTTGGCTGGTAGATGGCAATGTTGCCCCTCTGTCTCTTCTCAATGTCTTTCTTCCATGTGTCTTTGTGTTCTAATCTCCTTTTCTTATAGGGACACCAGCCATACTGGATTAGGTCCCCCCCAGTGACTCCATTTTAACTTGATTACCTCTGTAAAGATCTTATCTCCAAATAAGCTCACTTTCTGAGATTCTGGGGGTTGGGATTTCAACATATGAATTTTGGTGGACACAATTCAATTCATAACACTATTCTTGCCTCAGCCAGTGTTTTCAAAATACAGGTAAATAAACTTTCCCACATCCTGGGCTCTCACTTCCTTGAATTCACTGAAGAAATTGTTTTTCACCTTATCCCAGCCCCTCACTTCCACAGTCACTTTTTAGACCTTGTTATAACCAAGAACAACAACACTGCATTTATTCATTTCAGGCATTCACCCTCTGACTGCCACTATTTCCGTCTTTTCAGGTCACTCTCATTTATTTCCTAGCTCCAGCTAAGGTTTTACTCTACTGGAACTTCAATTCTATTTCTGATTCCCACTTTTCATAGTTTCCCTCACTCCCTTGATGTTCTGTCTTCTCTTCTTACCCATCTTAAACTCCATGTTTAAGCATTATCATTTTCTTGCTTATACTCTTGGCTCCCTTGACCCATTTTTGCGCCATTGTGTTCTCTTGGCAGTCAGTTCCTTGTTTTTACTTCTGCTAATAGCCTTTTCTTCCACCAGTCCTTAGTCATTCACTCTCATGGTCATACCCTAGATTTTATCATTACTGTTTACTACACATAAGCTCTATTTCTGGCATCTCATTCTCTGATGCTTGCCTTCACCTCTTCTCTTTCCAGCTCCCTCCATCTTCATTGCCACTGGAATTATAATCTGCCAATCTACCACATTTTCAGTCTCCTTTAACCAACAGATGTCTTTCGTTATTTAAATTAAGTTCCATAATCCATCACTATATTTACTCTTCTACATATATTCCTGATTGTCTTGCCCTTTGCACTTCCTGGTACATCCTTCATCAGTTCTCAGACCATCTCTTTGCACCCTTTTCCAGAAAAACTTGTTGAGAGTTGTCTAGACCTAGTGTCTCTACTTTGTCTTCCACCGTTCTGTCATAACCCCCTCCCCGATCTGGCATTCTCCACTACCACTCCATTGAAAGAGCTCTTTCAAAATAAACAATGATCACTGTTTTGTGAAATTCAATTGCCAGTTCTCAATTCTCAGTTATTTGACCTATTAGCAGCCTTAGACATGGCTGATGGCTCTATTCTCTTGATTCATTTGGGTTCCAGGACACCACACTCATCTGATTTTCCTACTACGTTGCCAGTAGCTCCTTCTTGGTCTCTTTTGCTGGTTTCTTCTCATCTCCCTGATAGTTAATGTTGATATGCTGCAGAATTCAGTCCTTTGTCTTTATCCCTTTTCTGTCCATATTCATTTCCTTGGTGATGCCATTCAGTCGCATGGCTTTAAATATAATACATAATCTCAGGAAGCCAAAATTTACTTTTTTCAGTATACACCTCTCTCCTGAACTTTAGACTCTTATATCTAGCTTCCTATTTTACATCTTCCACTCAACGTCTAACAGACATTTGAAACGCAGTGTGCCCCAACTAAACTCTTTACCTCCCTTGACCCCACCGAGCCTGCACTCCCCACCCCAAGTCTTCCCCATCTCAATGGACAGCCATTCTCTTTTCCCTGTCGTTTAAACAAAAAACTTTGGAGTTCTTGGCACTTCTGTTTTCCTCATAGTCCACTTCCAATTCTTCAGTGTATCCTGGTTACTCTACCTTCAAACTACATCCAGAATTTTCTCCTTCTTACCACTTGCACTTGAAAATACTCTGTTCCTTGGCCCAAACCCTCCATCCTCAATAGCAGCCAAAGTGATGGTATTAAAACATAGGTCAGTGTAGGTGAGGTAATGCCATTGTTCTGCTTAAAACTTTGCCTGGATTCCTGTTCACTCCAAGTAGGAGTCATAATGCTGACATTGACTTTAAACGCCAACATGATCTAGCCTCTTTTTACCCCTTCCACTTCATCTTCTATACTCTTACCATAGCTCACTGTCGTGAGCCTCTTTTCTGTTCCTGGAGCACAGCACTCAGGTCCCACTTCGGGCTTTTGTACTAAATGCTATTTCTGTATGATCTTTTCCTCCAGATGTCCACAGGGCTCATCCCCTCATTTTATTCAAGTATTTTTTCAAATGTCACCTTTTTAATGAGGCCTACTAACCACCTCATTTAAAAATCCGGTCCTTTCAGGATTCAGAGACCCTCCTACTAGCTCTGTTTTCCTCTCTCTTTTTTTTATTACTTATCATCGTCTAATATAATAATTTACTTATTTTTCACATATATTGTTTATTGCCAGTCTTCCTCATGATAGAACGTAAGCTCCATGAGCTAAGCATCTTTTTCTGTTTGTTCACTAATTTATTACAAATACTTATAAGAGTTCCCGGTGCATATTAAGTACTCAATAAGTAATTGTTGAAGATACAAAAAAAAAGAGTAGTGCTACTATAGAAGAAAAATAATATGTCAATGACAAGCAGGGTTACCTAACAAAGTCCAGGCAGGACCATGGAATATGTCTGAGAGGGAGTGATATTGAGACTGGCATACAAAGGATTAGAAGTAATTGCATAGGCAAATTAGTTCAGAGAACTAGAGAATTAGTCAGAGAAAATTTAATGTGTTAAGGTCCATTAGTAAAGATTTAAAGGAATTTAGCATGATTGGAATTTAGGAGAGCAATTGAAAGAAAGTTAAGATGTAGGACTAGAAATGTAAGAAGGAATTTTTTTTAAAATAAGTAAAGTCATTATGAAATTTATCCTCTAAACTAGGATACTCCTGAGATTCAAAAGGGATGCTCTTAATAATTAGACCAGGACAGTGTATGTACACTGAAACTGTCCTGGGAAATCTAGGATGGCCTCAGGCAGACAAGAAATTTTGGTCCTCCAATGATAAGCCATGTTACATTATCGAATTTGAACTTTTTCCAAATGGGTAATAGGAAGAAATTCAATAACTTATGCAAAAAATAACATTATCCACATTATCTAAAAATTATTACTCGCATTGCAGGGTGGAGAAGAAGGTGGAGTAGTAAGACTGGAGGCACGGAGAGAAGATTAGGAGATCCTGCACTTGAGGGAAATGATGCTGGAGGCTCAGAGTATGACGACACTTATAGCGGACATAGAATTGAATGACTTTAGGGGCTACTTAGTGATCAGATTTAAAAGAATTTGGTTGAGGCAGTAGAGGAGAGGGGCGTTGAAAAGTCAGAACTGTGATATTATGAATTGGAGGATAATGATGTCATCTGGTTTTTAGCAAAAAAATGGAGATGGAAATGGTTTGAAATGAGGGTAGAAAGATTAGTTCAATGTGAATATGCTGTGTTGGTTTTCCTGTAAGACACCCAGCTAGAAATAACCAGTGGATAGTTGAATACATTGCTGTGAAGAGAAGTTTAAGTCAATGATTTAGGTAAGGGAATCATCAATTTAGGAAGGACAAATGAATCCACGAGAGCAGACTCAACTATTCCGGGAAAATGAATGTACAAGATGCAGAGAAAAACCAGTGGAGCGCTTCAAGAAGGACATGGTCAATTTTGCCATATGCTGTGAAGAAGTCCACTGGATTTAGTGACAAAGAGGAAAGTGTGGCCTTGCCAGCCTAGTTTCAGGAATATAATGAATGCAGATTTCAGGTTGAACTGGCTAGAGACAGGAGGGGACAATAAGATTTCAAGCCAGCAACTGAAGACGATGCTTGAGGAATTTATCTAAGAGGTCATCACATAAGATCCAGAGGGGTGTGTGTATGTGTATGTGTGTGTGTGTGTGTGTGTATGTGTGTGTGTGTGTGCATGTGTGTGTGTGTGTAGAGATATGAAGAGGGAGAGACAAAGGAGAGAGAGAGGAAGGAATAAGCCAGTTATTTTGAAAAAAAAATGAAGTTAGGTAATGAGGTTGAATTAAAGCAGAGTGATGTCCCTGAAGAGGAAAAAGCGATGGGTCCGTTGCATACGTGAAGACATTAATATTAAAATATTAAAAGTTAAAATAAAGGACACATTTTCCTTGTGACAGAAACTAAGTGTTTATAGGTTAGTAGGTGGTTTGGTGGCAAAATTTAAAGGACATTCTTATTTGTCTGGATCTTTTTTTTTTCTTTTACTTCTGTGTAATTGAAGCCAAGCTCGATGGTGAGAACAAGACAGAGGATGGAAGGAGAGTTTTAACAAAAATGGAGAATATTTGAAATAGCGTCTGTTGATAACTGGATAGAGAACTTACAAAAAAAATACAGAAGTGTCAGGTGCTTCTATTCTAATCAGAAATATGAAATAATTGTTGGCAGTTTTGAATTAGTCTAATTTCCTACCAGCTTAAAGCTTAGGAATTTTGTTCTATAAACTTAGTTACACCAAGTTTGCAATATACACAAGTATGTTTTACATTGGACTTAGAAAATTTAACAAAAATTGAAGTATATTTATTGTTCTTTTTTGTAAAGAAAGAAACTAATGGTATTTTCAAATTTATTTATACTTACCCATGCTGGCAATTATGCTATGTACAGGTAATCTAGAAGGGCCATGATAAAATGACCTTGAGACATTGCTTTTTTTCTGCTGGTCTTGGTTTTTAAATGCTGAATTCTCTTCTTTGGTAATATTAATATAAAAACATATATCTGTAGCATTCATAATGTATCGAGGACCTGGATTCAGCAAAATATTTTTATTTTCTTCCCTCCTAACACCAATCAAGCAGACACCAAACCTTAATTTAAAAAAGAAAATAAAAGAGTTTAAGAATTGTAATTCAGCAAAGGTCTTGGTTTTTTTTTTTTTGAAGTTTGCATATGTAAGAAAATTAGTAAACTATTATAAGGCAGACAGAAATTAAAACCTCAAACCAGAGCATTTCAAAGCTTGAAGGGATCCTAAAAGTTCAAGACTCTCATTTTTAAAGGAAAAGAAACTACGTCCTTAGTGCGTTGTGAAATCAGTTTAGTTGAATATAATGCATAAATATGTGTATATATATATATTTTTTAATGAAGAAGAATAGAATAAAAGATAATAGAAACATCAGAGTGCATATCATATAGTAAGGGTAATAATTTTTTGTAAATTTTTTTGTGTGTGTACTGGGTCTTACCATAAAATGTCTATCTTACTTTGGTCAAAAAATGTAAACCAGCATTTCTTACTTTACTCTAAAAGTTTGAAAGCCATTGGCTGAAAGGAGAGGAAGAAACTTAAGCAAGGTCACGTGAGAAAGAATCAGGGTCCTTCAATTTCTTTTTGTTCTGTTTCTACCATATTTGATTTACTTGGAATTTTAGAAAAAGAAAATTTTTAAATAGTCTTGAATAGGTATGCAGGTTAATTAGGAGAAATAACAATCAGTGAATGAAACAGGTGTTACTTAAAAATTTCTCATATAACTTTTTCAGGTTATGCTCCAAACACAAAATGTCCTGAATATCTTTATTTCAATATGTCTTATAGCATTACAAATATATCAAGCTTAAAAATATATTTTAAACATCAAAAGTGTATGTATAGATAGAATCATATTGAGAATTACAGTGAAATACATTAGATACCAGATTAGTGAAATATACTAGATTTATTACAAATCCTAAAAATATATTACATTAATATAGTAAAATATTGATAATATATGATTTCCATGATAGGCACACATTTTTATTTCTTAAGTAAAAAATTTTACTCAAAAAGAAAAAGAAAAAATAATATTCCATGTTTGAATTGGATGGTATTATCATTTGTTTTTTAACTTATTTCTCTGGCCAAAGTGAGTTTTTAAAAATATCTAGTTTTTATAAATGTTATTACTTTGTTTAAATTTTTAATCAACACTTTAAAATTTAGATCTACAAAGAAGTTTCATTTTCATGCATTTGTGAATTCTTAATGGATTGAAATATGTTTCAAGATAATTTAAAAGTTACTAAAGTCTCTATTCCTATGAAATTATACTTTACACCTGACTTTAGAGACCATTCAGAAGGCCAGAGTTCTAATGTCTCGTTAATTAAGTGAAAAATTTCAGAATACTTGCAACTCATGAGCACCAACATGGGCTGTATTTTAGAAAACTGTATTTAAAAGATATGATTGATTTATATTTTAATTCCAGTCTGGAAGCAGAAACATACTTTTTGTGTGCATGGAAAGAGGCATATGTAAAACTTTTTCCTTCATATTCAGCAAAAAATGTACTTTCTTCCAAAACAATGTGGTACACTTCATTCCCAGAGCATCTACCATACATCTTCTGCCACTGTTCTGGCGACTGCTGGCCTTCTCTGCAACAAAAACACACACACATACACACACACAAAGAGAAAAACACAGTGAATGTGGTTAGGAAAACAATTGTTGTCAAACATAATCTGGCGTTTCCCAAATGTAAGAACTGGCAAGCACAGCTGAAAGAAGCATCTTGTGGTGCTCTAAACAGTATTATTTACAAATACTTAGAGTTACCACCAAATTTTTGAAACACAATGTAAAAGTTTGAAAGTTGGCAGATTCCCAGAAAGCAGGAGTATTTCACAACCCAGTCAATGAAGGCATTTATCCTGACCATGAAGTAATGAGATATAGCATTTGGTTTTTAGTCCCTGTCTATGCAGATCCTGTCATGCACATCGTATATATAATACTTGTTTTATAGTCTCAATAATATGGCCCACTTCATCTCATTTACAATACCTACTTGGACTTGTAGGTAATTGATTTTGCTTTTCGTTTAAAATTATAAATGTACGTACGTCAACTCATCAATTTGATTTCATAGAAAGTATACTAATAATTTCTGTCCATATTATAGCATTAGCTTTCTTCCAATGGTGTGGCAGATAAGAAAAGATACTCCTTCATGATAAAATTAAGGATCTCCAAAAGAGATCCCTAGAAGCATTTCTGAAAAGAAGATAAGTTTATCACAGAAAGTGCAGCTTCTTTTTTCTGGAAGGTTCTGCTCAGTGGCCTTGGAAATATATTAAAAAATTCAACCTATGAAAACTTTATTGTGAATATACAATAGTTCTTTTTCCCACTTTGTACAATAAATTCCATTTACTTTTGCTGAATAAAGCTTATGAACCTTGCAAGTACAAGGAATGCACATTCAGGAAGAAAAGTAATAAATATATAAAAGTTAAAATACTTAATCTTTGCAGATTCTGAAAGGATAAAGGCAGATAACAAGTCTTATCTACCATATTTAGAGTTTAAAAAGCTGTTATAGACTCTGAGTTTTGTTTAAAGGATTATTAGGAAGATCATACATTTACCAACATTTTCAAAGTGTCAATAAGCTTTAAAAAAATTGTACATTTTCCAGGTATGTTTCACGTGTACTTCATTCTTTCTTAAGTACGTGTAAGAGTAAAGAGCCTGAGCTTTGGAGTCTCATTGCCTGATCTGCATCCTAACTCTGCAATCTTGGGTGAGTTATTTAACTTTTCATTGATTCTCTACTTTTGTGAAAAACACCATCCAGCTCATTGGGTTGGCTAAAATGAGGTAATACAAATAAATCACTTAGCAACTGTTGGGATCACAGAAACCACTCAGTAAACGTTAGCTTCCATTATTATCATCTTGCTGTTAAACCTTCCTCATTGCTAAATTTTGGAGCCACTTTCAACATGTCTAGTCAACCTATTAAACAATAATACTCTTAAATCCTTTACCTTTTCTTCTTTACTGTTAATATATTTTTGGAAATGGAAACATAAAATAAAATGAAACACTTTTGACTACAGACTGCATATGGCCTTGCCTAACTACTACTTCCTAAGAATGATTGTTCCTGGTGGAGAAAACATTTCCTTTGGCAAACAAAAATAAAATTATGCTTGTTATGTAGCACATTTGCTACTTGGCGAGATGGTGCTTGGCAAAGATAGAATCCACTTAAAGGACTGGAAATGCAAGAGAAGGTGCTGGTAATTCAGCAGGATTTGTTTAAGATCCAAAAGACAGCATGGGGTCAGACAATTGTCATACAAGTGTACTAAAAGCTATTCTAGAGGATCATAAATCTAATTCCAGGGGCTGAAAGGGGAATATAATGTGGGAACTTGGAAGGGAACAGAAAAGAAGAGGGTCAGACAAGGACAGTGTGCATGAATGTCCTTAGATCGTTTGCTTGTTATCATGCTGTTTTATATACTGGCACCTTTCACCTCAGAGGACATCTTTTCTTTACAATTTCTTCAAAAAGCTCTAATAGGTAACGGAGAATCTCTAAGTTCAGCTAATTGTAAAGATACAAATTTTTCTTCTTTCAGCTCATGTCAATTGCTTAAGAAATGTTGGAAATTAGTAATTCCATCTAATACTAATGGCTATGTCCAGTTCTCACTTATCAATTCCCACACAAAATAAATATTGAGCAGCTGGGAAGTGCTAGGAAAAGTTCTAGATTCAAAAGTTATAGCAGTTAGCAAAAAGGGCAAAAATGCTTTATTTTTGGTTTATTTTTTTCAGGAAGATTGTCCCTGAGCTAACATCTGTGTCCCTCTTCCTCCATTTCCTATGTAGGATGCATGCCACAGCATGGCTTGATAAGAGGTGTGTAGATGTGGGCCTGGGATCCGGGCCAGTGAACCTCGGGGCTACCAAAGCAAAGCATGAAGACTTAACCACTACACCACTGGGCAGGCCCCCAAAAATGCTTTCTTTTTTTGGATCCTCTAGTGGAGGAAGACTGACAAACAATAGAAATAAGCAAATTAGGTTATATGTTAGAAGTGATAAGTGTTGGGGAGAAAAATAAAGCGGAGAGGGAAATAATTTTTAGGGGTGGGTTGGAATGTAAATGGTATGGCTGAGATGACATCTGAGAACCAATCTTGAAGAAGGTGGGAGAGGTAACCATATGGGTACCCGGGAGGAGAGCGTTACGTGCACAAGTAGCAACCAGAATTTTCCTGAGGCAGAGGACGGTCTGGTATGGCTAAGGAGATGCAAGGAGGCTCATTCTGCTGGAGTCGAGGGAGGTGGGGAAATGAGACCAGAGAGGCAACTGGGCAGGAAGACGGTCCCGCGGGGATTTATAAAATTTTACAATGACTTGCACCTTTACTTGGGATCATTTGGCAGCCATTGAAAGATTTCTAAGATGGGTGCAAAAGATTTTGACTTATATTTTACAAAAATATCTCAGGTCCTTGTGCTGAGAAGAGATTGAAGAAGGAGCAATGACCAGTGAGGAGGGTACTGCCCTAATCCAGCTAGAAGGTGAAGCTTTGGACCAGGTTAGACTCTCGGTGTGTGATGAAAGTGGACCTGAAAGGATTTGCTGACAGGAGAGAAAAATAAAAATAAAAACCTTAAGTACTCATGTCTATCAGAAACATGGAAATTAATCAATTAAATAAAAAACATCCATACAGATAACATTGAAAAGGCAAGTACTAGTGCTTGTAAAATATAATGAAGAAATCTCAAATACAAAATGTTAAATGAAAGAAGTGAGTGGCTTCATATTCAGCAGCATAGTTAACTGGGTCCTGGGGGAAAGAAGAGACATCAATCAGAGATATATGTAGGCTTCACAAACATTAGGAATGTTTATTTTTTAAATTTGGAATGCTAGGTAGCTGGATGTTCATGATAATATTCTTGTAAATTTTGAAAGTCTGAAATATTTCTAATAAATGAAAAATAAAATGCATCACAAAAGAGGAAAGAAATACAGGACTGGTAGTGAGGATATAAACCTTTTATTTATATATTTTTCCTTGCTACCTTTCAAGGCAGCCTTACAAGCCACATTACAGAAGCCCCTCTCTGCTTACCAATTTTGAGACTAACATTTTGTTCAGGCAGAAAGTAGTCATTTTTCCCTCTTTCAATGATAAAGATATCAAATTTAATTTTTTTCTAAATAGTTTTCCAGTTATTCAAATTATTGAATAATCCATTTATTTTTGCCCACTGATCAAAAATAATTTCTTTGTCAAACCCTAAATTCCTAATTAAATGTGCCTCTATTTGGACTTTCTATTCTGTTAAATCGATTTGCCTCTATCCATTCACTAACAACATGCTATTTTAATTATCATAGCTATAAAATACTTTAAAATATGTAAGAATAATCCCCTCTCACTATTATTCTCCTTCAGATTTTCTTGCTATTCTGGTTTCTTCATTTTTCCATATGAACTTAAAATCCGCTTGACTGCTTCAAAAATAATGCTGTTGATATGGTTATTGGGGTGGCCTTGAATTAATAAATTTGGGTGAAATTGACATCTTTATGATATTGACATATTATATCTTCATTTGTGTGCCTATTACTTGTTTATTTCCACCACAGCCTCTCACACATTGTCAATCCTTGACAGAATGTAAGCACCAAAACCTCTGCGCCCCATTATCTATCTTGTTCTCTGTGGGATCTTTAGGAACTAGAACATTTTCTAGGATGCAGTAAATGTTCAAAAAATATTTGTCTAATTACAGAATTTAATCCTCCTGGTAATCTGTAAGATATATGCTAATATTATGCCCATTGCAGGGACAAATAAATTGAGGATCAATGGTTTCAAGTATCTTGCCAGCATGAGGAGATAAAAGAATTCACCCTAGACTGTCTGGCTCCAAACGCTATACTTTATGCAGCAGCTTCAGTTCTGAGCAACTCCCATGTTCAGCGTGAATGTTTCTTCAGGCTACTAGGAATTTAAGAGCCAAATTTTCTTGCTACTTTTATTAATAATCTATAGTAATCAAAACAGTATGGTGTTGGCATAAAAAGAGAGATATTAGATCAATGGAATAGAATAGAGAGCCCAGAAATAAGCCCATGCATATTTGGTCAATTAATTCATGACAAAGAAGCCAAGAATATACAATGGGGAAAGGACAGCCTCTTCAATAAATGGTGCTGGGAAAACTAGATATCCACATGCAAAAGAATGAATCTGGATCACTATCTTACACCATACACAGAAATCGACTCAAAATGGATTAAAGACTTGAATGTAGGACCTGAAACCCATAAAACTCCCAGAAGAAAACATAGGTGATAAGCTCCTTGTCATTGGTCTTGGCAATGATTTTTTGGATTTGACACCAAAAGCAAAAGCAATGAAAGCAAGAATAAACAAGTGGGACTAAATCAAACTAAAAAGCTTCTGTACGTTAAAGGAAACTATCAACAAAATGAAAAGACATCCTATGAAATGGAAGAAAATTTTGCAAATGATATATCTAATCAAAGGTTAATATGCAAACTATATAAAGAACTGAAACAACTCAAAAGAAGAAAACAAAAACAATCCAATTA